CCTCGTTATTCCAATTAATCGCAAACTCGAAAGAATTTATTTCTATTTATAATCTATGTACGGTACTTTTCTGTGTATATATCTGCACGTAGCTGCACGAAATGCTGTGGCAGTTTACCCGCAGCGGGAGACAGACGGGGTAAAGCCTTTGCCTCGGCTCAACAGCGAGGCCGTCTTCTTTGGTTCTGCTTTACTCGAGAACCTCATGATTTGATGATGGGATAATTAATATCGATGTGGATGATGGGGACGATGATTGATTTTTCAGAGATTACGTAGCCCTTTTCTTTTATTGATGAATCGGGGAGTCGGGAACTGCCACCAGGTAATGATAGCAACAAACGTCAGGTATGAAGCTGGTTGCTGGGAATTGTCCCCAGCCCCACAGTGCCACTTCATCGTTAAAGTGAAAAACGGGCACAGAACCCAACTAACACTAAGATCTGATTGCTTGCCCCTTTTCTGTTTCTCGCCATCTTAAATTTAGGCAGAATTGAGTAGATTGATGCTGCCTGGTTCCGTCTGCAAAAGCTTGACGTTTAAAGTAATGTATATATTTTAAAACTTATCAGTGAACTTTTAATGACATCTGATCAGCTTAATGATGCGTTGTCCCTTTCTTCTACTTACAGTATTAAAGTACCTAGGTAGCTTTCAGAGCGGTTTACCCCTCTTTTGTCAATCCCTGGACGGTAATGGGGGTAATCCCTGTACCAGTGCTTTTCCAAGGGTTGAGTTATTCTCTCTAGCTTTTGCCGCTTCGCTTCGAGCTTGATGATACTGAGTTCCTGGGCCTTGACCTGGCGGGAATTGGGAAGTTATCTTATGGATTGGACCCTGGTCATGATGACATTGACCGACCAGCTGTTTCGATATGCGTATGTATTATCGTACTGTGACAGTATGTATCTGTAGGTAATTAAACCCGAAAATGTGTATTCCATATTACAGACCACGGAGCTGTTTTTCTGGGTACGGGTGGAACAAGCGGCTCTGTTTTGATCGACCCGAAGCCCTAAATTTGAAGTTTCACCCAACACTGGGCCAAACACGCGGAGCCAAACAGAAGACCGATTCTTAGCTCAAACTACGCCATTTGTTATCTTCAGGTAGATTCAAGCTCTCTTGCCGTTCTCCCACCGACCAATTGAAGGAGGAGAATTGAAAGCCACAGTAAGTTCTCTCATCCATCTTCAGTCTCCGTACTCTGTAGTTATGTGGGAATGAGTTACACCTTCTTTTCTCTCTCAGAAGTCAACCTGGGAGAGGACCTACGTGTCTCTCCCAACTGCATCATATAAAAAATCGTCTTGTCGACATGCTATTGGATAGGCGGCTGGAGACCACGTCGATTCCTTTCGCTACCCACTTCGTAGCCTTTTCCATCCAATCGGTTGGGCCTAACTCATATTTAGGTATTGCGCTGTATCCCAGCCTATCGAGGGCTTGTTGGCAGGTTCTATGCATCTTGGAAAGAAAAGTCCGGGCCCTTTCTGGCCTTCTTCCTTTCAGGTGCCCGCCACTCCAGGTATAATTCTTCGAGGAAACATAGTGGACGCGATTATCTTATTGCTGGGCAAGGTAATCTCAATCATTCTGAAAATCGTATTCCAAGGTTATTCACATCGTCATTTGATGCTCACCAACCTTCCCTCAAATAGAAAGCCTGGCAAGTTCAGTGAAATTAATTAAAAGCTTCGCTTACACCAACAAATTTCCATCTTGACTGGGGGAAAGAATTTTTCCCCTTGGGTTTGGTGCAACCAAGAAGATAAAAGAAAATCCAACCTCGGGATTAACTACCATCTGAAAAAGAAATCGGAAAAAGAGCAAGGAGAATATCGTTGAATCAGGGATTTTCCTCCTTATTATTTTGCATTTCCTTTTCCTATTTTTCTCCTCTGAAATTCTCTGAGTTGCCCCCCTTCCCGCCGCCGTAGTGTCTGATGTTGACATCTGCAATTTGAAGGCGAATCTCCTTGTCAACTACGGCTTTACCCCCTTACCCACGATCTAGCATAGATGGAGTCTTTCCATTAGGTACTAGGTATGGAGACCCACCATGTGTGAACTACGTACGGTACATCCGTAAATGTTGGGGAATCCTATCCTTGGATGACCTGTCACAAGGATGGCGGGAAAGTGCCGGCCAACTCCTCAGCAGCCATGGTCGCCGTTCAAACCTCCGAGACGATAACTATTGACTTTGGGTGATAACTCGAAATTTTCTGCTTCTTTTGCAGCTAAGTCTGACTAAGCAGGTTATGAAAGGGGATTTCTATCCTATTTTTTTTGTTATTTTTTTATTTATTTATTTTTTTTAATTATTTCCCCCCCTTTTTTTTGTGAGAGACAGAAATGATCACTCCTTGACTGCTTTTTGTTTCTTTGGGTGATATCATCTTCGTCCTCCCCCACCCCTTTTTTCTTAGATGGATCTCTTATTCACTTAAACATTTTAGACGTCGTTCAAAGAGTGAATGCCGCTGTGGAATCTTTGCTGGCACAGCATTAGCTATCTCGGTACAGAATGTTTGATTCTTCTCCTTTCTCTTTTCTTCCCGGGCAGGTGCCTGCATTATTGATTCTTCATTGAGCACTTATTGGCATGACTTTCACCGCCACCATCTCCTCGTCCCTTGGGACCGTTGCCGTACATATTCCGGAGGCCGGAGTACGTACCCACAACCTGTTCATTCTTTTCCTTTCTTTTTCTTTCCCCCCTTGTTTGCCTGGAGTTCTAGGTTTTATCTTTCTTTGTTTCTTTTTCGCTCAAGCAAAATTTCGGTTCTTTAACTCTTTTCTTTCTCCTTTTTATATATGTGGCTGATTCTTGTATGTAATGCATCTAGATACCGGAGATTTAATATCTAGAATACCATGTTTAACTGGTGGCTGATGGGTAAATTTTCCCAATTTCCCCCTTGTGTCACCCGGCTCCTGTTGTCATTTGATCAAGACGAAGGAGAATTGGAACCCTAAGCACAAATTGCATAACCAAAACTTCTAATTCTCAGCCCATTGGCTCATCTCTCATGGAAAGTTCTTTGTTCAAAGAAAAAGCTCATTTTCCTCATCCCGCCTCTTCGGGTTCCCGCTCCTCTTCTCCCCGGAGCATGGCTGGTATGGTCTTATTTTTATGCCTGTTGATGTAAAAACTGTCCTTTCCCCTCATTCTACGGAGATCTTATCTCACCTAGGAAAATACACGACATAACTCATCTGGAAGAAGAACCGGAGGGTTGGGTTGGGTGAGTCCACTCTCTCTGCATGAAAAAGAAAGGTGAAAGCGGGAATCTACCTTGGTATTGGGTCATTCTTATTTTTGACCTTCTATTGGTTCGGTGCGTATATCGTTTCTTCCCTTTCTTCTACTCTCTAAGGGAAGAGGGGAAGAATGAATATTTGTTAAACTTCAGCTAATTCTCTCTGTGGGGATTGGGCATCATACAACTGATCTTTCACCTTCAGCTCCGTCATCGATAACGGGAAAGGGGTAATTTCTATCAGCTCAGATGGCCAAACTGAGTCAAAGAGAGAGAGAGAGAAATTTGTTTTTTTTCAAATTTCTGCAGAGTTAACCAACACGCGGATTGGTATAGTGCAATGCTTGATACCCATTATTCAAGAGCTGTCATTTCCATTCTTGAGAGAGGACAATGACTGACATTGATGATTGAGTTAAATTAAGCCTTTGATATATGTCCCTTCAAAAGTATGTAGAACCCTACATGGCACGGATCATGCATGCACTGTACGGAGTACACATGAGCATATATGGTATTTATGCAAGAACGGAGTAAGATATATATCCGTTGCGAGTGTGTAGATATCCAGACAGCAATGTAAGAAGATGACGGTTCAGCATCTGGCACAAGTGCGATGATATAAAGGACCCTTGGAAACAGCCTCATCGAAACCTCGGAACTTTTCGTAGACTAATGAATGGTAAAAGTGCGATCAGCCTGCCTGGCTTGCTGGGCCACGCCTTTGACACGCTGATCCGCAGTTCAACACAATTGAAGATGAGGAAGAGAACGGAGAAATAAGAAGGACGAGGTAAGGTTTCAACTGCTGTTCAATGAGTTTATTTTTCTTTAGATGAACCTTGGCCCGCGTTTTTGCAAGGGGCAGAAGAGCTGAGAGTTTTGTTGAGGTCGCGCAAAACCAGCATCTGTTGGCTCTAATATAATCATACGTCGTTCGTATGGTACTGAACTGTACTGTACCGTATTACGTATGGGTACCAACCGGATAATACGCAAACGAAAACAGGGAAGAAAAAGAGGAAAAAGAAAACATTCGAGATAGATCATAAAAATACCTTAGGTGCGGTACAGATAGTATGATACGATAACACCGAAGAGGCAGCAGATGCATTCAAATACTAATTTAATTAATATTTAACGGCCCAGAAAGAAAGTCGACGACCCAACTCAGAAATGAGGGAAGAGAAACAATCATGCCCTATCTCTCTTACTTTTTCCCTTTTATCTAGACCTCGCTCCCCTTCTTCATCCCTCACCTATTTTTCTTCAATTCCTTGGAAGATTATCTTGTGTATGGGAAGACAATTCTTGTTATCTCCGCTGGGCCAATCCCGCAGCCGATCTCCAAGCCTCATCCGATCCCAACCTCCTCAACTTCCTCCTCTCAAGTTTCGTCTTTTGGCGTCCGGCTCACACTAAAATCGTGAGGTTGGTGGTATTTTTGTTTTTTTGCTTTTTCCCTCTTTTTTTTTTTTTTTTTTTTTTTTTTTTTTTTTTTTTTTTGCTTTTTCTTTTCCTCTCTTGAATATAATAATAATAATAAAAAAATAATGATAATTAAAAAAAAAAAAAAAAAAAAAAAAAAAGGGAAACTTCTTCTTGGTTGTATCTGGCAGAGTATATCCTCATCTTCCTTTCTCTCTCATCCGACTTTTGCGCATTTTAAAGATAATAATAATATCCTAGGATCCTCCTCCGCCCTCTAGCTGGCCTGGCTGGTCAATATTAGTCTTAGCTGACCATTGGGATTTCTGATTTCTGGAGCGTGAGGTCCTTCTCGCTCTCACTCGGGGAGTGCTGGCCCATTGTCGTTATCAAAGAGAGGCAGCCACCAGCAAGCAAGCAATAATAATCATAATCATAATCATAATCATAATTCGCCTCCAGTTTGGCAGCATCAGCATAACTACCAGCATCAACCGCCATAACAAAGCTCCGCCTTTTCCAGGCTCAGTATCCACCTGCCTACCACTGCTTGGCCCAGCTCCCGTCGCTCTCTAGCGTTTGCTACAACAGAAATCTTTCATCCCTTCTCTCCCCCCCCCTCCCTCCCTCTCTTCCCCCTCCCCCCAGCCTCCACTTTTTCCATATATGATCTTCTGCTAGGTTGGACTGGGAGCAAGTGAGGTAAGGCCGTCTCCACTCTCTCTGTATTTCTCTCCGTTTTCTCTCTGTTCCACATCCTCCTGCTTCCTCGCCCGCTTATCAAGCCTCCCCAACCACTCACTGTGATTCCCCATCCTGCCTCTCCTCACTCTCCGCTGTCTTTCTCCTTTTCTGTCACTTTCGTCTCTTTTCTCGTCCTCTTCCTCTTTTGATTCCCAGCCACTTTTCATTTTATTCTTCTTTCGTCCATCATTTTCTGCTTTCTAAGTGAATACCTCTCCGATCATCCTGTCAGTCCGGCAGTTCAGTTGTAACCAAGCTGTTATTAATGATCCTCCAGCACCTCACGGATTGGTTTACTGATCGTGTCTTTCACAGCGTGCACGCACACACAAACTCCCTCCATACTCCACCCTCCTCACTTCAATGTGAAAGAAAAAAAGACGAGGGACGCAATAGGCCATTTCCCCCCAAACTAAAAAAGCATAATAATAGAATGAATTTTTTTTAAAAAAAGAGGAGAAAACAAAAGAATTTTACGAAAAGGGAAACTAAACTCCATCTACGACCCGCAACGACTGTTACGATAGCCACGCGAACAACCAATTTAACCCTCTTACGTTCTGTCTTCTATTTCGCCTGCTCGCTCGTCCTATTTTCTGCCAGTTTTCCCTTTTAGCATCTGCCGTCTGTACCCGCTAGACGCTCGCACATTCGGTTGTACAAACGATTTCAAAATCTTGCCACCGTCTCCCGATACTCCCAGACCGTTATTCCTTCGCCTGAGCCCAATGCTCAAGTACACCGCTGTCGCGATCGTCCCATTTTGATTTATCTTCCCGTTTATGCAGAGCAGCGAGTAACCTCCAAAGCGCTTTGATACCGTGTTTGAAACGAACCTCCACCTCCATTTGCGCGTTTCGATTCTGAACCCGCAATTTCGGTTTAGATATCGTCATATCTTCGCTAAGATACCCACCAGATGCCCATTTCGTCTGTGCTTTCTACTGTTTGCGCTGACGTGAGAAGCGCAGAATAACGACAAAACGAACCAGAACAAGCCATTTTACAGTGGATTGTTTTTGATGCTTTTTGGTGATTTATGATAGCCTTTTGGCTTCTGTCATTTTCGTGCTCCTAGACGCCTCGTTTCTTCTATATTTCCCCCCCCCCCTTAAAAAAAAAAAAAAAGGCCTTAACGATTTCAAGATTCAACGAACCCAGCACGCTGTCCTGAGAGTTATCTATTCCTGTCATACAGGCTTCAGATACGTCCCATTGCGTGTTTACCTCTGGTGAAGTGATTCCCTCTCCAGTTTTAACACCTGATTGGAACCACCACCCAAGCCCCGAAGTACCCAGTGCCGCAGCCGTGTTCTCTTTACAGGATTACCATCAAAATTTAGTCATTGCGCTATTGCAACGGGTATTAATTAGTTTTCCCATAATACCCTATATTGTCTGCGGTGGTCTCATCGCCAAACGACGTGACATCCAATTCTCCTACAGGATCAACTCGTCCTGTTTTAGCCGGTGTGATCGAATACCGAAAAGCTGGAGCTGCCGTCGATATCCCAGGTTCAAACTCGATTCCCTATTGACGTCCCTTGGTACAATCATCACGCTGCAGAACGACCGTTGTTAGGCAGTGACAAATTACCTGCTCTTACTTTTCCTCACACACAGCCGCTCTCCGCTTCGGGTCGAACGGGTTCTCAAGACTCGTCGATATTGACAACGTCGTCGAGTGGCTCAAATAGCGCCGGTGCTGTGGTCAGCTATTTTCCTCAGGGCCCTACGGGCGAGGCCAAGAACCCTCCTCCTTCGTCCACCGACGGAGCAGGTGGGGTTCCTTCCCGATATTCCCTGGAGTCTACTAGCCAGCCGGATTACATCGCTGGAGGGACTGTGAGTGACGGATATAGCCACAGCCAAACATCCCTTGGAAATATGAATCAGACACAGCCTTACCTGGATGTACATACATCACATTTGTCGTCCGCACAACCATACTCATCCCACGGAACTCCCGCAACAGGGATACCGCCTTACCAGTATTCCCAGCCTCCAGTTCTGCAATCTGGTTCCTCCTACTCCTCGACTGGCAGTTCATCCTATCCTTCATATGGGTATTCTAATGGTGTTAACTCTCCACAATCGGCTACTCAGGCGGTCACAAATGCCCTGACAGCCCATGTACCCGCTCAAATACTACCCTTACCTGGTAAGATTTGTCCCTGAAATAGTCTTATCTTGCCCACTCCAAGGGGAGGCGAATTGCCCCGGGACTTCAAACCCAATTTATTAGGCTAATTAATATCTAAAGCAATGACTGCAAATACTCCCAGCTCTCACGCATATATGCCAGGTCCCAGTAGCCATGGTCAGTCATATTTGACTCATACGTTCGATACTACCGGTCAAATACCACCTCCTGGTGCAAAACCGAGGGTTACAGCAACATTATGGGAAGACGAGGGAAGCCTGTGTTTTCAAGTGGAGGCCAAAGGCGTTTGCGTTGCCCGGCGAGAAGGTTCGTATGCACAAAATATCGACTATGTCCTCCCCTTTTTCTTTTTATGGCTGACAAATATATTTCTTAGACAACCAAATGATCAACGGTACGAAGTTGCTCAACGTTGCTGGCATGACAAGAGGAAGACGAGATGGTATTTTGAAGAGCGAGAAGGTCCGCAACGTGGTGAAGATCGGACCAATGCATCTAAAGGGCGTTTGGTATATATAAACTTCAATCTATGATTAATCCGCTGGTAAAGATATTTCGGCTAACATACTCACTAGGATCCCGTTTGAACGTGCTTTAGAATTTGCAAATAAAGAAAAGATAACAGAGGATCTTTACCCATTGTTTGTACATGAAATCTCAGCGCTACTTTACCCGCATCCTACCAATCCGCCCAGCAGAGGTGGCGCTCTCACAACTAGGAATGATCAGAGACGTTTTGAAACTAGCCAGACTTCTCGATCATCCCATGGAGGACAACCCTCACCTTTGCATCATCATCATTCAATGCACGCTCCGCTTACATCCCATTTATCCCAGCCTCCTCATTCCATTGGCTCCCATTCTGGGTCGGCTCGTCCTGGGTTAGATCGTTCTCATACATTCCCCACTCCCCCAACCAGCGCATCCAGTTTAATCGGCATTGGAAACCACGGCGGCTCCTATGAATGGCCGCCACAAAGTATGGGAAGTAGCGTCCAGAGCTCACAAGCTCTTTCAATCGACACGGGTTTGACGACTGCAAGATCGATACCAACGACACCCGCGACGACACCCCCGGGTGCGAACCTGCAGAGCATGCAGTCTTATCATCAAGGTCAGCAGAGCTATGACAGTTCTAAATCCTACTATTCTGCAGCCCCTACATCGCAAGCGCAGTATGCATCACACCACGCCCTAACCCAGCAGAGTAATATGTCGAGGTATGGACAGTCAATATCCACGAACCCTTATATCAAACATTCAATGGGACCTCCGTCGGGACGGACGGAAGTGACAAGCGAGCCAATTCCCAATGAAACCAGGGCTGACCAATATTCTCACAGCCAGGGAAACGGACAGGTGAGCCATGGACCGGGTGAGGGAGAGGCAGATCATGACAATGAATCCGAGTATATCAACGACAACAATACTGCTTACAGTGCCAACCGTGGCTCATATACATACACCACAAATCCGAGTGCAACAAGCCTCTCGGGTGAGCACCCTCACCTCTCTCCTGAGCTGACGGATTCCACATCTCACCAAAATGGCTCCGATAACAGGATCACAGCACGGACCAGCACCCAATCACACTGGCAACCAGGATACCCTACTCCACCACGACCCGCGCCGCCTTCCAGTAATCTTTACAATGTAATGAGTGATACCCGTGGTGCTGCTACCAATGGAACAACAGGAGACTCATACTCCACCTCCTCAAACGGCCCATCAGCCTACCCGTCATTAAATGGTTCTGGAAAACGCATGCGCGATGACGACGAGCAAGATCAAACTCCTCTCTCCGAAACCCAGAATGGCGACAGCACCTATGACCATAAACGTCGGAAACCCTTGGTCGATAACGTTGGTGGGCCTGTGGGTGGCACAGCGCTTGGTATGCCCAACGTGAAAGCAGCCGTTGTTCCTCGCCGTCGATAGTCTTTTTCCATCTTTTCTATAGAAACCCTCTAATGATTAGTACGTTTCCGATGAGACATTGATGGAAAATAGAGCTTCTCTCCTTCCATGGCAATGACAAATAAACGAACCAAAAAACACGAGTCTTCGCTTCTTTGTTGATGAAAATTTTTCCATCAACAACCTATGCAGATATCAAATCTGTATTTTGCAGTTCTATTTTCATTTCTATTTTCATATTTTCTTCTTTATTATTATTATTCTCACCAGCAGGCTAAAGTGCAATGAGTCTCTACTATTATTACCATTATTTATTTTGTCCCTGTATACGAGTCATGCTTTACCTGACCGCCAATGAATATCTATCATGAAATATGGGCTTTAAAAAAGATTACGACACTTAACGCAGCGAGCGATCATTGATTTTTGTGCCTCGCCTTTTGCTTTTTGCCAGTTATGCGGAATCGAAGTGTCTACCAAATTTCAATCCCCACCGGTTCACGGTTGTCTCAACCGCTTTCCCCCTCCTGGCCGATATGAATCGTCAACGGACACATCCAGCATCAACTTTGCTTTCCTTTTTCTATATTCCTTTGTCTTTCTGTTGCCCCTTCATCAGGTTTTATTCCTTGTTTTCTTTCGTTGTTGCATCGCCTTCGCCTTCAGCTTCAGTCTATTCAAACATAAACTTTTTCTTTCTTCTTTCCCTACCGTATATGCCTTGCAGCAGCTTGAAACTGTGCTTTTATAATGACATCTGCAAAGCATCTTCGACGTATTCAGCCCATTTATTATTATTATTATTATTATTTTCTACCTCCGAACAATTTAGGCTATCTGCATTTTTTCTTGTTCGCGTATCTTGATTGGTTTGGCCCGATTTATCTCCGCTTCTCCAGTGTTGGCCTATTTGAACTTTTTTGGTTTTGCGTTCCTCTCTCATTCCTTCATTTGCTATTTTTCCTTCCTTCTCCCATGCCTCTTTAAAAAAGAACACCTTCTCTATTATCGATTTTTCCATCTTTTTATTTTTTATTTTTCCATTTGTTTCTTTCCTTTTCCTTTTCCTTTTCTTTTTTTGGTTGCTGTGGCCTCTTGCTAATTGGTGTTTTCCTCTACTTTTTCGAAAAACTTACTATTTATTCTTGACGACTGTTATGACACGAATCTCCTTTGGAAATTTAAATGCTAGTTTTTAACTGTTATATGAATTTCCACGTGTGCAGTTTGATTTATTATTTAAATAATATAGCCACATTAGAGACATGCTATCCTATCTTCAATACTTTTTACAGTACTCTCTCAACTTAAGATTTACTCTTGAGTTTACCTGCCTCTCACCCTACGACAGGATAGGGGATGGAAAAACGAATTGGCTAACTAACGCCGATTCACTGAAAAGGAAGCATGCTATTGGCATGCCATGTTTTCTAAAACCCTTACAGGATATATTATTTCAATAAAAGTATGTTTCTTACTTTCACCCCTCTCCCTTACCTCTCCATTTTGTGCCTCAGACGAAGGCATTTTCAACATGCTCTCTCTCTTCAGTGTTATCCAGTTTACATTCTTTTCCTATTTTGATCTCCGCTTTTCCACATTATCGTCCCATTTGATTATTTCGGGATATATCCCAAATATGTGTACCGGTGTAGGTTGGTCGTGAAACCTCTCTGGCTCTGCTCTGGCAGTGACTGTGTTCCCATTCTCAACAGTTTTGTTTGAAATGCTTGTCACACATGCCTTTTACCTTGACCTTGACAGATTAGTTGTATCTCGGTCTTCACCTTATTTATCCATGTTACCCGACGTCACCTGAGAAAGACGTAGTTATGTACCGCCACTCCTGTAGAGATAGGATAGAATTTAGTATTAAGAAAATTCAACCTCTTCCACTAGCCATAAACGGGACGTGCAAAAAGCTAGTATTCGGCTCGAAAGTTAGTTCTGACCCGCCCTGCCGTTGGACACCCACCCTTTTATGCTGCGGTATTCTAATTAATGGGGGAAAGCAGGTCGTGGAACAGACCATTTGCTGCAAACCCATTTGTGGATAGCAGAGACCGTAGATTTTGAACGTCTCAACAGCCGTACGTCCACCATCCGCCCATCCCTCGAATATACTCAATTTGTCATGAAACGCAAATAAAAACGTTAAGAGGGCTAGGTATGTCGTCATGAACGCGACTGTCTACATATGTCCGAAGGCTTCTGGGAATGCACGTTTATTATCAGCTCTTTGTCTAACACGCCCCGAGTTACTCCCGTACTCTAGAGATCCTGTGCAATAACCTGTGTTAGACGCGTAGTAGCGTACAATTTTTATATTCACTTTTATCCAATCTACCCGGAGAGTTTAAGCGGCTGGATGTGTTGCCTCGACGCCAAACAACTACATGAGATCTAGTTACTCGAAAAGAAATGAAAAGAAAATCATGAAAATCATCCGAAATGACCTTCAAACACTGACTGAAAATGTGAAGATGTCAAGAAATCCCAAGCTATCCTTGACACTCCGTTAAACCGCATTCTATCCTTAGCCTCCCTCTGCTTCGGAAGGGAAGAAAATGAAAATGAAAAAAAGCTACAAAAGGGTAGGGTTGGGACGACTCTAACTACTTCGCAAGCTCCCGTTCCCACGCTTCTGAAAATACCTGTTGCCACAAATCAATCCAACCCTGTTCGTTGGGTGTCAATTCCTTTTGCGGGTTACGAATATTGGTGGATAGAATATTTCGTATTCGAGTGCTGAGTGCCTTTATAGCTAGCATTGATTTCCAATCCTTGACGGAGAACCTGATGCGGGCGCCGTCCAAGGCGATGATGCCGGCGAATAGCTTGTTCGTTTTGTGTTAGCAGAGTTCACGAGCAGTTGGATTTACATCGAGTGTGCTCTTGGTATGGTAATCCAGGAAGTAAATTCACAACTAGATGAAAAGTGTTAATAGGTAAATACCTTGAACTCGACATCTCCACACAGCAATGAAATTGCAAAGTCCTCCACCGGGCTCGTTTCACGAGCATGTAAACATCGACTGCGAGATTGCATGATGTGATAAAAGGAAAGCCATTTCAAGGGGGCATCGAGCCGTTGGTTCACTGAGGATACGTGGAGCGACACCGTTTGATTATTGGCCACATTCCTCCAGCCTTTCCCGTCGCGACTGAGTAGTTTGGGATAAAAGCTCCATGCAATCACTGAATTTATGGTTATGTCATTCGCACTGTTGATATCTGCCCATTTGGGCACGGTAAAAAATTGGCGTTGGCGGTCAGTAAAGCGTGCTCTGTGTGAGAATAGCGTTAGAAACTTTTGGACTGAAGAACAAACATCATGCGAACGCATGTAGCGTTGGACACGGACCGACCTTTTCAGAGATTCCTGTTCAGCAGAATCTAGTATGATTAGTCCAGCATCAACAATCAATACTAAGAGCTGCAATTTTACGTCTTCGATGTTGAGCAACGTCTGTGGGCTCAGGAAGTTTTTCCTGCAAAACGCGTATTCGCTCATTCCTGGAGTACTTCTGTGGCGTTTCCATGCTAAATACACATTGTAAATGGTAAGAAGATCCGAGTTTCCTATGTCGGAAATTAGTGCAAACATTAAAACGAATGTATGCTATGGGCGGAAAAAGCGCACCCCGTTTAAATGACAACTTCGCAAGTTCCCTTTGGGAGTTAGAACCGACAGTGTTGACGAATGGAGATTTCGATGACAGGATCGCGGCGATGCTGACTGCGCTATCTAAGCATTTAAAAAAAGCCCCATAGATAATAAGTTTTCCGAGAAGGACATCTAAAGGTAACTTCGCAAGTTGTCTCCCAAGCGCAGTCAAATTCTCACTACTCGTCAATGCTTTGACCTCTTTAAGTGCCTCAATGGCACGGCGTATGTTCTTGGACGATGGCGGGTCGATGGCTTCTGAAAGTGTTTGTTCGACGTCTCCTAGATTACATATTTTCACCCAGAGGACGAGTTCTTGTAACGAAAGCCGGAGCATTTCTGGTGTTTGCTGTTCGGCAAGCTATTACTGATCGTTAGTACATGGGCATGATTTATAGGAAGAAGCTTGGGGGTTTAAACAAACCAATAGATCATGGCGATACTTCGTGAATAAATGAAAGCAAAGTCCACTCTGTACTCGACCGGCGCGGCCTCGACGTTGTTTGGCATTAGCCCGCGATATGAAAGATTCTACTAATTTGGATAGCTGACTCTTCTCGTTGAATCTGTTTCTATTAGCACCTCATAATAATTAGCTAGCTGGTAATGAAATTGTGACCCACCGCATAACCTTGTCTTTGCCTGTATCAATGACTGCTGTAATATCTGGAATTGTAATGCCTAATAAATGTTAGTTGAGGGAGGGAGAGACGACAAAGATCTAAGCCTCACCTGTTTCAGCGATATTAGTGGCAATTACGATCTTTCTTACGCCCTTTGGAGGGATGAGAAAAGCGCTTTCTTGATCCTCGCTAGCCATGGAAGAGTGTAGAGCGTGAATAATCCACTTATGGTTGTTGAACAGCGGTTCAGATGAGATTTCGTCATTGAGCCGCCTTATTTCTGCCATCCCCGGCATGAATACGAGGATGGCCTTGCTATACCGCTCAAATTCTTTCTTGGTTGCAATCGCCAAAAGGAGGTTTACTATCAGTTTATAGTCTAGTCGGTATTCGTTAAATCCGAGTACAGTGTCTCGGGTTTGTTTGCTGTAACCTGCCAGAGAGGATGCAAAATCTACCATAGGATTTTCGGCATTCCCGTCTAATGGGTCATCGCTGTCATATGCGGCTGAAGAAAGCTGATCGTCGATTGGATGGTACTCTGTAGCTTCAATTGCGTCCTCAAGGTACTTAACCTCCACAGGAAACATCCGACCAGGGATATTCAAGACAGGGGCACCATGGAAATATTTGGAAAATCGTTCCGCGTCAACGGTGGCCGACATCAACACAAGCTTCAGATCTGGCCTGTCTTGCATCAACCTGCGAAGGATAATTAAAAGAAAATCACTGTCGATTGTACGTTCATGCACCTCGTCTAATACTAGATGGGTAATATCCTGGAAATCGTTAGGTCGCTTCAACATCCTTACAACTACCCCTGTTGTCCTGGAATACAAGTCAGTGAGGACTATATAATTAAGTGAAGGGGATGAAATACGTACGCAAATGTTAGTCGTGTTGAGCTTGAAATTTTACTTTCTAATCTAATGGCATATCCAACGAGGGAGCGACTGGTTCCTACTGCTTTGTTATCCTCTCCAAGTTCCTCGCTCACTCGTTTGGCTAATGATATGGCTGAAATGCGTCGCGGCTCTGTAACGTAAATTTTGCAATTTCGGCCTGACAACAGCTCATTCTCCAGAATGAACGAAGGAATTTGGGTACTCTTCCCGCTCCCCGTTTCACTGCAGATAATTATGGCTTGGTTGGTAGAAAGGGTTTCTAAGATCTGGTCTTTGAATTTCCATATAGGTAGTTTTTTTCTTGAAGACTCCATAACTGCGAAAGAGAAGGTTGAGGATCTGTCCGTCCAGAGCTTTCGGAACTGTTCTGCAGGCTTCGTAGCTTGATTTGACTGACTGGCCCCTTGCAGGAGGGGGGGGTTGATTTCACCGTTCCGTTTTCGGAAATTATCCAAAAGCACAATATCATCCTCAAATGTTTCCATTTTTTCTTGGACTACTTTTTGAAGAGATCTCAGAACATCCTTGTCGGCTTGATCTTCCTGATTCTTCTTAACTGTAACGAATTCATCCCACAGATCTCGCCATACAGCAGGCAGTCTCATGTAAACCTTTCCCTCTTTCTGAGAATGGGAAAATATGATGAAAAGAGCCACCGTCGAAATGTAGGACTCAGCCTGCAGGGCGGTAGGAGTTGAAATCGACACCATTGACGCACATACTGAATGTGAGCTACCTCTGTACGATATGTCGTCCAAGCGCACTGGAGGTGGCGGGTCTTGTGCTTTTGACCATCTAATTTCAACTTCCTTGCGATGAGAAAAGGGTGTTGAGGAAACATCTCTATACACTATGTTCCATCCAGAGTCCCTTTTTAGACAGAAGTTAGTCGTGAACAAAAAATGCAGAAAAGGGAATTTCCAAACCTTGCCCGGCAAGCTTCTTCGAGAATCCGTCGCGGATTCATTCCTGCTGGTTTGCCAAAATCTCTGCTTCTAATTGATGAATTGCCATTCCAATTAGAATTCGAAACCACTGCAGAAGGCCCGTCTGCATCAGTGCTAAATAAGTTTCCAAAAATATCGTCGTTATCGTTCGAATCAGAGAGTATTGGCTCTATCAACGTATCAGAAACGTCTAGAACTTTAGATTCCTGTGGCTTGGTAGGAGGCGTCACTAGTGGACGCTCTTCACCTGCGTTCCGTAGGTGTTTCGCAGTATCTTCCCTTAGCTCAGTTAGCTTTTCCCCCCATAGCTCTTCAGCCCGGCCGTGATCGAATAGAATGTCGTTTTCGATTTTTGCTAGGTTTCTTTTCAACTCGGCTGTAAGGTGCTGCGTTGTGTCATCCCCTGAAGTGGATGACGAAATTACTTTTGTTTTTCCCTTCCTCGTCTGATTAAACAAATCTGGCTGTTGCATGTAGAGCTGTGTATGGAGATCAATATATTTAGGAACTAGAGAGTCTGGGTTGGTATCAGACTCTTCAGAGTTGTAGCTTGACTGATTCAGGAGTGTTTTGCCTTCCATTTTCCTTGGACTTGAACGAGTATCGCTAGGGGTGTTATAACCCGTGCTTGAGGGATTTGAACCCAGTTTACCTATCAATCTGTCAGCATACGCTTTGGAAATACAGCAAACCATGTTTCTCACCCTTCTCAAATGAGGAAGCTTCCCTTTTGATATTTAAGTGGTTGGACTTAGGCTTGTCATATTGGGGTAGGTTCTTCTCGTCGCAATGCCTGGCAAGCCATTCTATAGATTGATCTAAGCCCCATACAAGATCCTTACTAACTGCTGGATCGTTGAAACAAAATTGTAGGCTGTTTTTCAGGGTTTTTTCAACATCCTCCGGCGCAAAATTCAAACCTAGAAGAGTGTGTCGAAGGGTCCAAAGTTTTATACAGAGGTCCTCCCCCGAAGATAGAATCTGGCCCTCCTCTATTTCGGGTCTGGAAGCTTGCTCGACGGACTTCTTTACCTCCATTTTCTCCATCTCATTAATTTTATTCAAAATGTAAGGGGACAACCAGTCAGTCACATTTAGAATTGATGCTTGGGGTCGCAGGATACGCTTCTCAGTCTCCAGCTTAAGAACTTGGCGAGAAGCATCATTCTTGGACTTGACGCCATATTTTTCAACTAGAAATTGCAGTTCAGCATCCTCAAGATGTTTTTGGAGCTCATCTGGAGACAATTCCTGAAGCGAAGGCTGAGGCTGTGACCCAATGGAAGCTTGTGATGGTGGTTCAGTCGGGGTTTCTGACGCTTCCTGGTGTCCCACTGGCGCAGTCGAGGACAGTGATGTTGTAGATCCAGTCGCCTTTGTCTTTGACGGGACAGAGACTGTTGTGAATCCTCTGGATGGGTTCGAAGCGGGTTTCTTCTTCTTCCTGTTCGGGGCCATGTTGTGGAAATTCTCCTTTTTCAATTAAAGATGATGTCAGAGCTCAAAGATCCATATGGGTAAATAGTGGTGTATTTGGTTATAGTAAGGAAACCTGTCAAAGATATAGCAATTCAAAGCGCCAAATCCAAACCTCATGGTGAGAACCACGTATTGTCGTTGTTCCTGATCTTCACCCTATTGTTGTTTTGTTGTCGTTGTGAAGGTGATGTTTGCTGGTGAAATTTGATTTTATTTTAAATATCTCTAAGGCCTCAAACCAGCGTTGCTGACTATTTATTTAGCTGCCACAACAATTCCCCCCACAAACAAAAATCCCAAGTTAATTATTTAATGGTTAACAACTTTATCGTATTTCTCCAATACCGACGACCACGGAGAATCGTAGTTCGGGAGCAATAAATAATCTCCAGATTCAAATTCCGAAGTTCCGACATGCGCAAAAGCCATGCGATATGGACGCAATCGAGTGGAACAAAGTGAGCGAGGGCTTTCTCGACAGTCTGGAGTCGGTTGTGCTCTCGGGTTCAACTGCTTGCCGACGCCACGGACTGCGTGAGCTCCATGAAAAACTGTCTGGTAAATAACAGCGTCCTATCTGCCACGTAGTGCTGCGACATGTAAACTAACTGCTCGAAGGATCCCAAATCGCACAGGACATATATCGGCCGGTTGCCCAGCTTTTGTTCAGGACGTATCCGTTTTACGTTGACCGCGCATCTCGTCAAGCAGCCCAGAAATGCCTGAGCGCCCTCTTTCGAATTCCTGCCGCAAACCAGGACCGCCAATATTTCATACAAGAATTAAACAAGGAGTGCTCTAAACCGGGGATAGCTGCTGCGAATGCGTTTGTTTTGGCAGAATGGTGTTCGCTGCTGTTACAACAGCTGAGTGGGCTGCCTGACTCCACACAGTCCGTATTAAATCTCTTATCTTCAGACGCCAAGGTTGTGGAGATTTGCCTGCGGGCTAAAACGAAAAGGACCATAAAGCACTCGGCCATTATTGTGACCAGGCGGGCGTTGCGAGCTGTTCTCTCTTCTGAGGCAACCGGCGAGGAGATTTTACGGCGGACAATTTCGATGTTAACAAGCGATGGCGCCTCTGGTTCAAGAAATTCTCCTTTTCTCGGAATTGTAGCTGGGGTCAGCGCTCGGATTCCTAACAGAAAGCCGGTTCTGGACGATGTGAAGGCTGGTATCCTGCAATTCTATGCGAAAGAAATTATTGGGTCCCGCACAGTCCTCCCTTCCCATATCGTAGGAGGATTGCACGACTTCTTTATTTCGTTCGCGACTGCTGAAGATCTTCACACTACTGTCTGGCCATTCCTTGAAAAGGCCATTCTTAGAGCTCCTGAAATTGTCTTCAGTGGACTGATACCCTCACTGGCTGCCTCGATACCTATTGAAGTCGATATTTCAGAGATTTTCTACACTCATTTCTGCAAACCGCTCCTAGCAAATATCAAATCTGCAAATGCATCCATCAGAAATGGTGCTGTCAAAGCTTTTGAAAGTCTTGTTCTTAGATGCAAGTCCGAACAGTGGCTTCTCAAGGTTGCAGAAGAAGTTTTCGCGCCCCTGAAAACCCAGAAAATTACAAACGCTGAACAGCGAGGTCTTCAAGCCCAAGTGCTCTCCTCTATTCCGTGCTCCACTGATGTGTCACAATCTATACTGGGAGGTCTCGCAGCCGTTTTATCCCGTGAAGCTAGTGAAGTAGCGTTGGATATTGAGCTCAAGTCATTCTGCTATCATCTTTCCTTCCTCATTAACACTGCAGCACCTATTGGAAAGGAAATATTAGATGCTGCAACTAAAGGCTGCAGTGAAAAACGAGTCGCCTTCCGCAAACTGTGGCTGGTGAACGTCGGGGAGCTTTTGTGGAATACAAAAGATGATGACTTGCTTCATTCTAATTTTACAACGGATTTCCTTCATCCAGTGGTTGCCAAGTTTCAAGAGTCTTTTGATGACATCGTTGCTAACCTATTTCCTTCGGTTCAGAATGGGGCAATTACAATAGCTTTCGTCTTTGTTGCTTTATCAAACAGACTCAAAGAACAGAAAGACAAGAATGGAGCCAATTTATTGGCCTATGATAAAGTTATGCAACAGACATTATCCATATCACCGAAACCGTCATTCCTCCTCAACCCGAAAGTCTACACGAAGTTGAACTCTACTGAAGATTTCCTATGGAAAACACGTGCGTTATCTACGGTCTCCAGATCGGCGGTGTTTCAGACAGGAGATCTTTTGGCACAAGAATATTGGGCACAAGCATTCATGTATGTGATATGTTCATTTGGTACGCTGCCAAAGGTTAGAGAACATGCAGTGAATGCCCTAAAACAGAGCTATTGTGCAAATCCAGCCCAAGTTGGGATGACAGCGATCGCTGGAATATGGGAGTGGCTTCATGCTCTAGACACTGCAAATAAAGACTCCGCTTCGGTGAGTGCTGGGACTGGAAACGAAAGACTCTACCGTGTAATCAAAGCTATCAACATTTCGCCCCCCGAACGAGCACATAATCACATCATCTCCAACGAGATTCTTAAAGCTCAACTGGTTGAATTGCTGGTTCTCTGCCGCCCGCAGTTGATCCCAGGAACACAATGGATCGATGTGGTTTTGAAAACTGGCATAGACCCAGGGGAACTGGTCCGTGAAAGATATGAGGAATGTATGGCACAAATCCTGAGGGCTATTGATGTGAGTCTTCTCAGAGTTATACCATTTCACTAGGTGTGATACCGTATTTTAACATATATTTTTGATAGGACCCAACACGGAGCCAGATCAGCAAGGGGAGAGCTGCAGCGTGGGAAGCGGCAGCTGATCTTGCATTCGTTGCACCCGACATCATGATTCCGCGCCTGATAAAACAACTCCATGAAGATTTAGACCCAAAACGTGTGCTAAAATTCGAGCCAACCGACATTGCCATTGCCCGAACTCCCGAAGGAACAACTTTTATAGAAGTTCTCAGCACCAAATCCACGCCGGTGATTAGCAAGGGCAAGGATTCCGACACCCTGAAATGGGAGGAGGAACTTCGCGCCCAAGTTGCTCAAAAACGCGGCCAACCGCAGAAGAAATTGACTGCTGATGAACAAGCCAAAGTCAATGCCCAATTGGCTAAGGAAGCTCTAATTCGGGAAAGTGTTCAATCGGAGAAAGAAATAATCAAAAGGGGGGCTGGGATTGTAGAAAGCCTTGCGCAGGGACCGCCAACGGATGTTGAAGCGTGGATAAATCCCGTGGTCAAATGTCTTACCGACCTTGCGAGGGCTGGAGCCGGTGCCCTGGTCGGTGATGCAGTTTCATCAGCATATGTCTCCTGTTCAGATCGAATATCTACCAGACTTGGACTGGTGCGGCCATTTGTTGGTATTGCTACGCTCCGAGCTCTGGGGAAAACGTACCTAAACCCACAATTGGAAGATGAACCTCTTGGTGGTATGTTTTTGTAAAAGACACAATTAACTAAAGCTCGTGTTGAAAAATGGTTTGGCTGATCAATTTCTATAGAGCTTGTTGCAAGAATTCTTTACCGTCTTCGCTTAGGCTCGGAGCAGCGACCTTTCGACTTTGCTACCCTCTCATATATCCTGCCTTTGATTTTTGTTATACTTGAGAAGGATGGCATTCAAGAATCTAAAGACAGCAAAGGAGAACAAGTTCTACTAGCTCTCGAGTTTCTGTCTCTTCATATGAGTTCATGTAAGTGTCACAAATCTTTCGAGTTTAATGTTGGTTGATTTAACAAATTTTATAGTTTTCGACAACAGGCTCCCGCGTGTTACCGCCCTTCAAACTTTGATATCCTCCATGCAGAGATATACTCAGCACCATAAGATCATTCGAGACACTTTATTTGACCTTTGCAGGTGTATAGCACATAACATTGAAAAAGATGAACTTGAAGTTATTCTTCAAGCCTCTATTGTCCCTGAAATACCGGTTCGGAGCTGTGTGCTCCAGGTAATTTTGTCGGAGATGGATCTTACAGACCTTGACTTTTCCGAGTACATCTGGCTAGCGTGTCACGAACATGTAGCGGAGAATCGTGAAACAGCTGAAGCTATCTGGGAACAAAATGCTCTCGGTATTGATGAAAAGTCTGCTAGTCTCCTCATAAAATATCTCGAGAGTACGGACTCGCAACTCCGAGGAGCAGCGTCTCGAGCCCTGGCCCACGCTTGTGAAGTTAGTGCAGCAGTGTTTGCTGATAATTTGCAAATACTGAAATTGAAATACAGAGAGGAAGTTATGCCCAAAACTCCTGAAAAGGACGCTTACGGCATGCCCAAGAAGGTTGACAACAAAGATAAATGGGAACGTCGTAGTGGAATTGCATTGGCATTTGGGGCTATGGCAAAGGGTTTCCAAGGAGACCAAATTGTCAGGCTGCTTCAATTCTTGATTGACGAGGGTCCTTTAATTGACAAAAACGATTTGGTTCGACGCCAAATGGCCGAAAGTGGGAGCACAGTTATAACTCTGAAAGGACGCGAAAAGGTGGAGCAACTGATGCAGCTGTTCGAAAATACTTTGGAAACATCAGATAAAGCCAGCGAGGAATCCGATTGGCTCAATGAGGCAGTGATAGTTCTATACGGTTCCCTTGCTCGTCATCTGAAGTCCGGAGACAAGCGGGTGGACACAGTTATCCGAAAGCTCCTGGCTGCTTTGTCCACGCCATCTGAGACAGTTCAATTCGCGGTAGCCGAGTGCCTTCCTCCCGTTATCAGGCTTTCAAGCGCTGATGCGGCAACCTACATTAAAGAAATTCTTGACCAACTCTTTCACTCGAAACAATACGCAGCAAGACGTGGTGCAGCATATGGGTTAGGCGGCATTGTTAGTGGGAAGGGGGTATCCGCATTCCGAGAATACCGCATTATGGCACATCTCACCGATGCGTTAGAGAACAGGAATGATCCCAATCAAAGACAAGGTGCTATTATGGCTTTCGAATTATTCTCCTTGATTCTAGGCCGGATCTTTGAGCCATACGTCATACAAATTGTGCCTCAGCTGCTGAGCAGTTTTGGCGATCCCAGTTCCGACGTGCGCAACGCCTGCCTAGATGCTGCGAAAACATGCTTTTCAAGTTTGAGTTCCTACGGTGTAAAGCAAATTCTTCCAACCCTTCTCGAAGGACTTGACGATCAGCAATGGCGTAGCAAGAAGGGAGCATGCGACCTTCTAGGCGCTATGGCATACCTTGACCCTCAACAACTTGCTGCTAGTCTCCCGGACATCATCCCTCCCCTTACGGTTGTCCTGAATGATAGCCATAAAGAAGTGCGTAACTCTGCCAACCGCAGTCTCCAGCGGTTCGGAGAGGTGATAAGTAACCCTGAGGTGAAGAGTCTAGTTGGTGTTCTTCTGAAGGCCCTCAGCGACCCTACGATATACACCGACGAAGCCTTGGATGCATTGATAAAGGTGTCATTTATTCATTATTTAGATGCGCCATCCCTTGCTTTGGTTGTTCGAATCCTGGAACGCGGTCTTGGGAGCCGATCGGCAACCAAAAAGAAAGCCGCCCAAATCATCGGTAGCTTGGCCCATCTCACGGAACGCAAAGACCTTATTAGTCACTTGCCGATATTGGTCGCGGGATTGAAGCTTGCCATAATTGATCCTGTTCCTACAACTCGTGCGACCGCCTCCAAGGCGCTCGGGTCCCTCATCGAAAAACTTGGTGAAGATGCACTCCCAGACCTAATCCCAAGCCTTATGAACACCCTTAAATCCGATACCGGGGCAGGCGATCGACTGGGGTCTGCTCAAGCGCTCTCCGAAGTACTTGCGGGATTGGGTACTTCTCGCCTCGAAGAAATTTTGCCGACAATCCTGCAAAACGTAGCCAGCGCGAAAGCATCAGTCAGAGAAGGATTTATGTCTCTTTTTGTCTTCCTTCCTGCCTGCTTTGGAAACAGCTTCTCGTCATATCTCAGCAAAATTATTCCTCCTATCTTGGCCGGTTTGGCAGATGATATAGAGGCTATTCGCGAGACTTCACTTCGTGCTGGACGATTACTCGTGAAAAACTTCGCAACCAAGTCCATTGACCTTTTACTACCGGAGCTTGAGCGAGGTTTAGCAGATGATAACTACCGCATTAGACTCAGTTCCGTCGAGTTGGTTGGAGACCTAATTTTCAATCTCACTGGTATTCAAAATAAAGGAGAAGAGGATGAAGAAGACACCGCTGCCCAAGCAGGCCAATCTCTTCTTGAAGTGTTGGGAGAAGAAAAACGGAACAAAGTTCTCTCTTCGCTCTATATTTGTCGCTGCGATACTTCTGGTTTGGTTAGAAGTGCAGCAATTGCTGTTTGGAAAGCCCTTGTAGCCACCCCACGAACATTGAAGGAGCTAATACCCACCTTATCGCATCTCATCATTCGTCGTCTTGCGAGCCCAAACATGGAACAGAAGGTGATCGCCGGAAATGCCCTTGGCGAACTCATCAAGAAAGCAGGAGATGGGGTCTTGTCATCCTTGCTTCCATCGCTGGAGGCCGGTCTCATTGCGTCTACAGATGCGGATTCGAGGCAGGGTATTTGTATTGCCTTGCGAGAACTTGTCATCTCTGCTTCAGTTGAATCGCTCCAAGATTATGAGAAGGTTCTTATATCTATTGTGCGAACTGCTTTAGTGGATCATGACGAAACGGTTCGAGAAGCTGCAGCCGAGGCCTTTGATTCCCTGCAGCAAGTATTGGACAAACGAGTTGTAGATCAGGTTCTTCCGGACTTACTCCATCTTCTGAGAAGCGAGGCCGATGCACAGCAAGCGTTATCCGCCCTTTTGACTCTGCTCACGGAAACGACGAGAGCCAATATAATCCTCCCCAACCTTATTCCAACATTGTTAACTTCACCTATTTCTGGATTCAATGCAAAGGCCTTAGCATCATTGGCCCAAGTTGCCAGTTCTTCGATGACTCGCAGGTTGCCCACTATATTAAACGCATTTATGGATACAATCGTCACCTGCGAGGACGGTGAACCCAGAGAGGAAATCGGAGACGCATTTGATACCATCTTAGAATCTGTGGATGAATTCGACGGATTGAATGCTTCCATGAGTGTAATGCTGGCTTTGATGAAACATGAAGACCATCGGAAACGGGAAAACGCAGCTATTCGCCTAGGGAGATTCTTCTCTCGTACAGACCTTGACATTTCTCGTTATCACCCTGATTTAATTCGCGTATTGCTTATCTCGTTTGATGACCGCGATGCAGGTGTTGTTAAGGCGGCGTGGGACGCTCTAACACAGCTTACCACACACATGCGAAAGGAGGAAATGGAAGTTTTGGTCATTCCAACACGTCAAGTCCTACGGCAAGTTGGTGTCCCAGGTTTAAACCTTCCAGGATTTTCCCTGCCAAAAGGAATTGCATCGATATTCCCGATATTCCTTCAAGGGCTCCTCAATGGAACCGTTGATCAACGTGTACAATCTGCTCTTGCAATTGCTGATATCATCGATCGGACAATCCCGGAGGCATTACGACCCTATGTCACCCAAATCACCGGCCCATTGATCAGAGTTGTCTCGGAACGATCTGTAGACATCAAATGTAGGTTATCGGGACAAAAACTCGATGAGCTAGTGGTCCCTATGCTAACTATATATTTCTAGGTGCCGTTTTCTTGGCTCTTAATAGGCTTTTGGAAAAGATACCCCTATTCGTGAAACCTTTCCTGCCGCAACTACAAAGAACATTTGCCAGAGGGCTGGCAGACACTTCAAGTGATGTATTACGAAAGAGATCGGCTAAGGGCTTAGGCATATTGATCACATTAACACCAAGAATTGATCCTCTCGTAGCAGGTAAGTAATGTATTCACTAATTACAAGTGACAAAGTCGTTAACATCGTCCGCCAGAACTCGTCACCGGATCCAAAACCTCCGATACAGGTGTCAGGAATGCCATGCTTCAAGCACTCTACGAAGTTGTAAGCAAAGTTGGTAAAAATATGAGCGATACATCTAGACAAGCCATCCTCAACCTTATTGATGATGAGGGTTCTGGGCGTGATGGTATGTCAATCTGCTTCCGGGTTCCAACCGTATTTTAAATACTAACGTACAGTAGATGCGATGGATATTACAAATGCTCGACTCCTTGGTGGCCTTGTCAAAACTCTTCCGGACACTGCCGCCGCTCCGCTGATAAAGTATATTTACCCACTGAAGAAATATCGAATTAAATCCCTGAGCCTTTTGAAGTTGACTATCTATTTATAGGAACCGAGTTCTCACTCCTCTCTTGACCCATTCCTCGATTCTCGGCCTTAATGCAGTCTTGTTAGAATCTGCAGAATTTCTCGCGGCAAAATTTCCCTCCGAGACGCCGTCCATTATATGCAATGGCATTTCGAACAAAGATGTAAGAAATATAACTCCAACCTCCCCTTATCAGAGATCTGGAAGCTAATATTAGGTAGCCATTTATATCGGACAACAGCGTGCTTGCAGCAGGCAAATACCTGTTGTCAGAAGACATAACCCGCAACTTCGAGATAGACAAGCCATTGATTGAAGCTCTCTCCCCAGCAATCAAGCCTGGTGGGCCCACAGATACTCGACGGCTAGCATTGGTTGTAGTTCGAACCATCAGCCGTCTGCATCCCGAACTTGTCCGTCCTCACCTTCCAATTCTCGTACCGCCCGTCTTTGCCAGTGTGCGCGATGTTGTCATCCCAGTCAAACTAGCAGCAGAGGCAGCGTTTCTGTCGCTGTTTTCAGTGGTGGATTCCGAAGCCACAGTCTTTGAAAAGTACATTAATGGTCCAGGGGCGGAGTTACCTACTGCCACGAAACGGAGCATGCAAGATTACTTCAAGCGCGTTGCCCTACGGCTAGCCAATCAAGCACGAGAAAGACGAGAAGCCGAAGGTGGACAAGGGGGGCTCGGTCTGTCAAGCGACGAACTTGAAGACGAAAGGGAGGTTTGGAGCGTGGGGAAAATCGACCTAGACGAGCCGATAGGTGACGACTAGTGCCAATCTTGTGGCAATGTTGGTTTGAATCATGTAGACTATTTTTTATTCTTCGCTGATACGGGATCTTCTCATGTATGCTTGTATATAGAAATCAAAATCTGATTGATGTTCATTGGATCTCGAATTCTCATCACGTGATAGAATTTCCAGTTGGGCGGAGCTTTTTGTATGTCAAATATAACCCTCCACCAAGGAGAAATCCAACTCACACCTAGAGCCAAGATGTAATACAATGGATTGCACGGGCCTTTCTTCCACCACGTAGACGGGGTATTTTCAATTGTTGTATCCATCCCATCCCGCGCATTTTCTCAAGGTTGCGTTGCTAGCTTACTCAGGTATAACAGCGCTGTCCAAATCGGGTCAAGCGCAGTCAAGCCCTAAGTTTGCGGGTTTGTTCTCGCTTAGCCCTCCCAGATGCTTACTAATCTCCTTCTTCCACGAACCCCAAACCTGACCTTGTCAATATTCCAAGGTTGATTGTGGGAATTCGACCATCCATCCATTCAACGACCGACCATCTACAGTACGCGGCATCAAGATGTAAGTTCTCCCTGCATCGCCAGTGGTAGCCCTGTTATCCCTCTCGTTTTCCAGGTCCTCTTTTGCGCCCGTCTTGTGGAGCCTGCTTGTGCCGGATAGCCACGAGAATCTTCCTAGTTGTCTTCGCTTCCCCCCTCCCGGAACGCGCGCATACACAAATATATACATACACAATGAGTACTTGTGAAGAGAATTCCTGGCTGACAGAAACGCCGCTTTGGAAATAACAGGGTCAACCTTCGCACCCAGAAACGCCTGGCGGCCTCGGTGGTTGGCTGCGGCCAACGCAAGATTTGGCTTGACCCCAATGAAGTCAACGAAATCTCCACCGCCAACTCGCGCCAGACCATCCGCAAGCTGTTGAGCGATGGCCTTATCATCCACAAGCCCGTCACCATGCACTCGCGTTCCAGAGCCCGGGAGCTCGCAGAAGCTAGAAAAATCGGACGACACCGGGGTTTCGGTAAGAGAAAGGGTACCAAAGACGCCAGAATGCCAAGGTACGTTACCCCTTTCATGGGCGGTGGTATTGGAATGAAGCTCTGTATTTCGAGAGGCTTGTGACGGCCAAATGGACTTGATATGTGAATTGCGTGAATATTTCGAATATAAATAGGAGGATTGCTTGGAATTGCTCAGATCTCTGACTCGTTTTCTTTTCAACTTTACAGCCAGGTCCTGTGGATGCGTCGTCTCCGAATTCTTCGCCGTCTTCTCGCCAAGTATCGTGCCTCTGGGAAAATTGACAAGCACCTTTACCACGAGCTGTACCACTTGACTAAGGGTAACACCTTCAAGCACAAGCGTGCGTTGGTTGAGCATGTAGGCATTTCCCATCCACAATACACAAATTTCCTCATCAAATACCCATCCTCCCCCTCCCTCGCTCCTCTCCCCGGATTTGAGGACAGGACTACGATAATTTGTTGAATTAGTTGTTCGGCCCACTATGATTGACGCTGAGTTCTAAACTAACCTTACCTTACCAAATCAGATTCACAAAGCCAAGGCTGAGAAGCAACGTGAGCGTACTATCAAGGAGGAGATGGATGCCAAACGTGCCAAGGTCAAGGCTGCCCGGGAACGACGACAAGAACGTATCCTTGCCAAGAGAAACGCCCACCTGGCGGAGGTCGAGGAGGAGTAGGTGTAAATGCCTTTTTTTCGTTTTCTTTTTCATGGGGCCCACTCGGGAGGTGTTTATTTTCCTTGACGATTGTGTGAGAGATAGCCATGGGCTTTGTTTTTTATATTTTTGTGCAATACTAGAAGGCAAAATCTCATGACAATCCTCATTTTTCAAGGTTGTTTTCGTGTTTTGACTTTCTTAACTGCTGTTGTCCTACTTGCATTGATGGAAAGCAGAAAAAGAAAATCCTCCCAATCCCACCTACTTGGGAGTCAATTGATGCGATATAAAGGCGGGTGGGGTGGGTGACCCCATGACGGATAGAAGACAAAAGCCATTATAATCTTCAAAGTACGATTGAAACGACAACAGAAAAGAAATGTAAATCACCTTAAAAAAAATTAAGAAAACATCAAAAAACCCTTCGCCGGCCTCCCAAATCTTATTCATGCATGCATTATTGTTGTTACCTATCTCCCTCTAATATATAGTAAATCAGAAGAGTTTTGGGTTAACTGATAGATTCATTTCATTCCTTAATTAATCAACATGTTACTTGAGGTTTTTTTTCAAAAACTTTTTAACCTTTGTCTCATGCTCTTTCATGCTCCCAATTATCTCTCGAAACTGTCCCCATAATCACTCACCTCTTCGAATTAACGCTGATAACATCTCATGCTGGGAATATCACCAAATCCCATTTCGTAGAAGTGGAGATATCTAAGCGATATCATCGCCCTCTAAGCAAAACAGATCAAGTAGACAGTCAAGTCGCCAGGTTCGTCGAGTCACTGCCCAATTAAAAGTCGCTGATCCAAATCTACAATCAAGCCTGATCAAGACTCCGGCATACCAATTTAGATTTAGTGACTGGAGTAAGACTTTTTATTTTTATTTATTTTTATATTTTTTTCCTATTTTGTTTTGAAATTGAATTGGGTTGAAACCTTTAATAGTCGTCCGTATAAGAGACCACGATATAAGGGAAGACCACTTTGGAAATCATTGAATTAGTTAACTATCTAATTGCATGGAACATTTGTTGCATATTTATGCCACTGCTACCGCCTGTGCGTAGTTTCCAGCAGCTATCCATTAATCAAGTTAACAAACATTAACATTGTACATAGATACAAGAAGGACGCGATTATATCACATCGACCTCCAGTCTGTCGATGAGAGATGGTGTAGAGAGAACGAAACAAAGAATCCACAAGCTCAACTGTACGAGAAAGAGACGGGTGAAAAGACATTCAATCATAAAACCGTGAGATGCCAGGAACCCATGTAAACAGGGGAAATAATAGAAAGAGGGAAAGAAGACAAAACCACAAGCACGCTGTAGTGCCAGAATCACCCAGCGCATCATTGAAGCCAGAAGAAGGGGAATACAAATAGAGCCCAAAAGAAGCGGCTTGTTAATAAGGTAGGAGAGAGAGGGTTAGAATCCCAGGAAGAGAATGAGGTATCTGAGAAAACTACCCCGCCATAAACGTAGATAATAAATAAAGGGATTCTGTTTTTCATTTAATTTACACAAATATTGTTGGGGTTGTTCGATGTTCGTCTTATGAAATCAATCGGGAATGCGAGGGAGCAATCGCAACAGCTTCCGCAACACCTTCTGAGAATGACGACGTCTCCGTATCTCCAAACGTGGAATTGTCATCTGTAAGCCCGGACTGACGTCTTTCAAGGTCAAAGGGATAACTCTTTCGACTAGGAAATCCAAGTTCATTGGCAGAACGGTTCCTTCGCCACCAGGAAATGTCGGATGCCGTCATCCCAAGAACGGCAGATGACGATGTGCTGATTCTTCCGGGAAGTATGATGATACTGCCGCTGCTGGTAGAGTTGGTGTATGCTTGAGACGACATCGAGTCGTTTCGTCGAATGGTAGAGGGATTGGGGGCGGGTTCAGCCACAGAGCGCAAGGGCAGTGGAACAGGTCCGTGGGCTCCCTGAGCTGCTTGCATCCCAAATTCGAAATTTAAGGGCACATATCTAGATGGATTCGGTATAGAGTTTTCGATTCTTCTGTTCACGTCGGGCATCGGTGGAAAGTTCGTGGACCGTCTGGAGTTACGTGAATCTTGGGCAAAGCTGTAGTGAGGAGTTGCAGGACGTTGCAACGTATTTCCAGGTTCCCAATCGGTAGGTGGATCCAGAAACGGATTTGGAATATTCATTGGCCTTCCGTTGAAGGGATTTCGAGTTACCGCCTCCCGTGTTGTTGAGGGTGGGAAAAGGTGCCATTTATCCTTCTTCTTCTTCTGAGGTTGCCTTGAATATCCACGAGTATCTTCCCCCCCCATGCGCCCGACATCTTGGCTTGCCATCCATTCCAACTGCATGAGGATCGGATCAGTTGATTCATTTTTATGTTCCAAAAAGTCAGATAAGCTACGAGTATGTGGCCTCCCCAACCTGGGTGACAACGGTTCTCCGCGATTTAAGTCACCGGTTTCTGAGTAGACACTCATGCTTCTGGTTGAATATCCCGATTCTCGCTCAAGATGGCGGGAGGAGAGGTGGATATTTTCATCAAGTCGGCTTCTCTTTTCAATGTTCAGTAGGATAGGCGGTTTCATATGACGTCGCCTCCGTCTGCGTCGTCGAAGAATGTGAAAAGGCACCAGGGCTATCAAGAGAATAACGACTACACCAACGGTTCCACCAATAATCGCACCTCGTTTTAAGGGATCAATTTCACCGTTGGATGGATCTTGATAACTCTGAGCAGACATATCTGCTCCTGTTGCCATCGATGTCCTCGATGCCAATGTTGAGGCTTCCATGGAGAGGGACGAACTACTACTGAGTCGGGTGAAATTAAAGTGTGAAGACATGGAAACGGAACTCAAATTCACTTGATTAGAAGAAAATGATATACTCGGTAACGGATTTCCTGGAGAGCTGGTATGTAATGGCGGTGCCACAGCGGAAGCGCGGTGAGGTATGAAGGTGGTTTGAGAAGCCAATGGAGATTTAGTTACGCGTTGAGAACTGAGAGTGGAATGATGAATTCTTCTGACTTTGGTACATCGTGTCCCATTGAAGGTTGTAACCGATTCTGACATTGTGGTTGTGGGGTGTCAAGCTCAGGTCGAAGATGGTGATACAGACCAATGACATTAAAACCAGTGCGGTGTACACTTTATTAGAACCGTCCACAATCTTAGGAAATCGAGAGAGAGAGAGAGAGAGTTTGATTGCAAGAGCCAATGAGGGTAATGAGGAATTCATGGATAGGTTCCAATGGTAATGAAATATCTACAGTCTTTCACCGCGAATCCGTGGGTGCAGATACCGGGTAGGAAATCCATCAGAGAGTAAGATGGATTTAAAATAGAAGAAGCGAACGAAGAGCATGTTGAACATGTCAAATAAGGTGACTAAACAGAACCCTGAAGAGGAAGAAAATTGGAAGATGCAGATGGTGTGAATGATGAGAAATTTGGAACAAACGTGGAAAGAACCTTGATTCTCTGTCCCATCCATTTGGAATATATCAGGATAAAGAGAATACCTCTCAAATTCATCGACCAATAATGGTCAATGCAGATGATAGAGGAAGGTCATGGTTTCAGAATGAGAGTGGTCGAGCGATTCTGGAACAATAACCGTATGCCACATCCCCTAGTGCGCTGCTGCAAAACACAACATCCTCGATGGGCTAGCAACAGAACAGGAGCCGGCACTCTTGTGGGGTAATTTTGAGCTTTGCGCATAAGAAAGAGAGGTAATCCCAGCATAGCGATAGTGATTCTGATGCCCAGATCAACCTGGTTAAGTATCTCGCCCGTATGACAGGATACTCTGCTGTCCTTAAGCAAAATTGGGATTGATTTGTGATTATTCCAGTGCCAAAGCTAGAATGTATACCACATCAAGTTCAGAATTTTGGCCGGCAAAAGCTGTCGCAAAGAAAACCATGATGGTCTAAAGCTTTAACATAGCAGTGGAGGCGGTATCGCAAGAGTTGGAGCTCGTGCATGGCAAATGTCTTTTATTGGGCTCTCGAGTCCCGCGCATCCAGGACAATGTGTATTTTCATATATACTGGCACATACTGGGAGTACTACGTTTTTACACATACTGGAGATGAAGAGAACACGGTAGCAACCCATGAAGGATTCAAGGGGCACGTATGCGAAAAGAAAACCGGGTTCGCGGCCTCAGGCTTCTTCAACAGTGGAAACGGGTAGCGATAAGATGAGACAGCACCGGTCCTGATTAGGCAATGAGACAGGGAGAACCTGGAGATTCTGGCGCCGCTTTGAGCAAATTTGGAATTTGTCACAATTGACAGGCTTATTTGGGTTGAGCATTTTTAGAAAAGGGACACAAGGGATCCGGAGACGAGGAATCGTTGGAATTCCAGGAGACAACGGAAGAATAAATCCGCCAAAACAAATGAACAAACAGCTGGAGTGAAGTATAATAGATGGTGAAGTTTGAAGTCCCAGCTTGAAGAGGAAGAAGAAGAAGAAGAAGAAGAAGATGATGATGATGATGATGAAAGCGGGCTTGAAGTAGAAGTTTCATGTGAGAGTCAGACGTCGATTTAGGCTGTTTCCTGTTTGGGACAGGAGAGCTCGAAACGGCATAGCGCCGGTTCCGTGAGGCTCCCCAAGCAAATGAATTGGAAAAAGGGATGATGATGAGTTGCTGAAGCATTTGGCCTCGCTACCACACACAACTACCCCACCTTTATTTGTGCACGTCCAATTGCGGTTCAGATTACTTCCAAAGGCTCGGTTCCGACTTGGGATACGAGCACGGCCTAGCTGCAAAGCTAATCGCAGGATGAGCCAACCAGTTTGAAAGGGTCGATGAGGTCGTCAAGCCACCCCGTGCATGATTAACTATCCATGGAGCCACAAGGATAGTTCAGAAACTCGGTGATGTTGGCACCGACTGGGTCCCCTGGGTCCCTTTCCCTTTGAAGGCCCCTCCCGGACAAACCTGGATAAACTATTGATGTGGCCAAAAATCCCATGGAAAAGCAGTCCAAA